CCCGCGGCCTTCCGGCCGCGGAATCTGCCCGCCATGGCTTGGACGTGGAAGTGGAGCGTCTCTGGGGCCTCTCGGGTAAGGGGAGGTTGGAGGGGACGGTGTGGATGGAGGAGGTGGCCGCTGGAGGGGGAGGTGGGCGAGGGATGCAGGCAAGCAGGCCTGAAGGCAGGAACGCGGTGGTGGAGGCGGTGTCAATGGAAGCGCACCCATGTAGGCATGACAGCTGTTTCTGACGCCGCAGTCTGTGTTCACCATAGCTTCTGCGGGGAGGGCAGCCGTGAGAAGTTATCTGCTCTTCGCCGGGGCCGAATGATAATTTGATGTGGTAGTGTGGTGACAATGGGGCCAGTGGGCGCGGCCTAAGAGGCCCGAAAGAGGGCGGCGAGACGTAACTCCCTAAGACGTCCCCAAATGGCCCCAGTGCGAGGACACGAATCGACCTTTCGAGCGCACCACCCCAAGACGTCCCCAAATGGCGCAGAGATGGCTCGCAGTGGGTCCAAGAAGCCCCCAAGACGATACTGGAAGTTCGACGCTCCCCAAGAGAGAAGCATCCAACGCCTCTTGGGGGCCGCTTGGGGGCCCTTTTCGTCCTCCTGGGGGTCTCTTGAAGCCCTCTTGGGCAATCTTGAGTGCGTCTTGGGGCGATGTGGGGCCGTCTTGGGCGCCTCTCGGCATCTTGGGACAGTCTTGGAGCTATCTTGGGCAAATATTGGGCGCTTTTGGGGTTGTGTTTCTTGAGCCGTCTCGGGCGCCTCTGGAGCCGTCCCTGACGGCCCAGAGACCGTCTTGGAGACTGTCCAAACGGAAAGGCTTGGAGACGGGGCGGTGGGGGCATCTACAGCCGTCTTGGAGACGGGGCGGTGGGGCCGTCTTGGGCCATTGTTAACTGCTCTTGGGGCTGTCTTGGGTGCGTCTTGGGCCGTCTCGGGGCCCTCCTGGGGCCCTCCTGGGAAGCCTCTTCGGCGTCTCTTGGGCCGTCGTAGAGGCGTCTTGGGCCGTCTTGGCGCCGCAAAGACAGTCTTGGCTCGTCGTGGAGCGCTCTTGGAGCGTCTTGGGGATACCTGGGGCCTTCCTGGGAAAATCTTGGTGTCACCCTGGGGCCGTTGTGGGCGCCTCTTGGGCTCTCTTGACGCCCTCTCGGGCCTGTTTTCGTGCGTCTTGGGGGCCTCTTTGGCCGTGTTGGGGCGGTCGTGGGGACCTGGAACCAGCTTCTGCGCCAGATTCCCGTGAAGCAGCGCATGCTGGAAGTGAGCGTTTTTCTTTGGGAAAACAATGATTTTCGCCTCTGGGGGCCATCCTTGGACGCCTCTTGAGCGTCTCTGGGGCCGTCGTGGAGGCCTCCTGGGCCGTCTTGGGTGTGGTTTCGGCGGTCTTGGGCTCTCTTGGAGCGCTCTTGGGCCGTCTTGGGGGTGTCTGGGGCCGTCCTGGGCGCCTCCTGGGAGCCTCTTGGGGCCGCCTGGGGGCCGTGTTGGGCACCTCTTGGGTCTCTGGACGCTCTCGCGGGCCCGTTTTCGTGCCTCTGGGGGGCCTCTTGGGCCGTCTTGGGGCGGTCGTGGGGGCCTCTTGTCCCATCTTCTGCGCCATACTCCCGACAAACAGTGCGTGCTAAAATTGGACTTTTTCGTTGGACAAACAATGATTTGAACCTGTGGGGGCCATCCTGGGACGCCTCTTGAGCGTCTCTGGGGCCGTCGTGGAGGCCTCCTGGGCCTTGTCGGGGCCGTTTTCGTCGGTCTGGAGCTCTCTTGGAGCGCTCTTGGGCCGTTTTGGGGGTGTCTGGGGCCGTCCTGGGCGCCTCTGGGGCCGCGTGAGCGCCTCTGGGGCGTCCCCGGAGCCGTTGTGGGCATTTCAAGCCCATCAAGACAGGGACCCTTCCCGCACGCACGGGTCCCTGCATTGTAAAGAAGACTAGGGCTGACCCGTGGACTACGTCCACTTGCGGGGTGAAGGGGTGCTGCTGCAAGGCGATCAGGATGAATGGCGTCATGTTCGCCCGCCACACATCGCTGAGCGAGGAGACGGAGGAGCGTCTGGACGCCCCACCTGGGGCGCTCAAGGGCTCCCTTGGGATCGGGTCGGGCTTTGTCGGTGCGTTGGGTCCGACCTTCTCGGGGCGTTCTGGGGCCGACTGGGGGCCCTCTGAGGGGCCCCAAGATCACCAACACGCCTTCAAGATAGCTCCATAATGGCCGCCCGCCCAGAATCGGCGGGACCGATTCTGGGCCACCCCGCCGCCGACCCAGAATCCCGCCCGACGCACCTGGGCGGCCGCGCGCGCTTCAGGGGCCGGCCGAGGCGATTCTGGGCCACCAGAACAGCGAAACACGGCATGGCCCCAAGAGGCCGCGGAGAGGGCTCCAGACCGACAAAACAGGGCGAGGGATTTTGAGGCCAAATCCGGCAGGGAGCGCCAAACAAGCATCAGAGACCCATGGTGCGCTGGAAACCGTTTTGGGACCGTCTGCGGCCGTCTTAGACCGTCTTTGGCTGCTGTTGGTGCTGCCTTCGGTGCTTCTTGGGCCGTGATCTTGGGGCCCCTGGGGGTTGTTTTGGAGCCTCTTTGCGCTTCTCTTCGGCCTCCTGGACGCCTCCTGGGCGTGGGCTGTCTCGGGTGCCTCTTGAGCCGTGTGAAGGCTGTCTGGGGCCGTCTGAGGGTTGTCTGGGGCCGTCTTGGACGTCTCTGGAGCAGTCTGGGCATTATCTGGGAGTCGTCTAAGGCCGTCCTGGGCCGCTCTTGCTGTCTTGGATGCCCCTGGGCCGCCAGGGGCGCCTCAGGAGCCGTCCTAGATCAATATTGGGCCTCTGTATGGCCATCTTGGACGCTGTGAAACTGGGGAAGCCCAGGAACTGCCAACATGTACGTTTTCCCGAGGAAATGGGGCGATCTTTCATTGTTCGGGCTCTCTTGGGGCTCGTCGTGGAACACTTGGAGCGTTTTGGAAGCCCCCTGGGCCGCCTGCAAGCCATCTGAGGCGTTCTCGGGGCCGTCTGGGGGTTGCGTGGGTCCGCCTTGGGCGTCTCGGGAGAAGTCTGGGCACCGTCTGGGGGTCGTCTTTGGCCGTCCTGAGCCTCTCTTGAGGCTGTCTTGGGTACCCCGTGAGCCGCCAGGGGCGCCTCAGGAGCCGTCCTAGGGCCATCTTGGGACCCTGTATGGCAGTCTTGGACGCTATGGAACAATTTTGCAATGTCCGAGCTCTCTGGGGGCTCGTCGTGGAGCCCACTTGGAGCGCTTTGGAAGCCTCTTGGGCCGTCTGCAGGCCATCTGAGGCGTTCTCGGGGCCGTCTGGGGGTTGCCTGGGTCCGCCTTGGGCGTCTCTGGAGCAGTCTGGGCACCGTCGGGGGGTCGTCTTGGGCCGTCCTGGGCCGCTCTTGAGGCTGTCTTGGGTACCCCGTGGGCCGCCAGGGGCGCCTCAGGAGCCGTCCTGGCGTCGTCGTGGGCGGTCTTGGCGCCCTCACGGAGGCATCTTAGGGCGATCTTGGGGGTCTCTATGGCCGTCATGGACGCGTTGGAAACGAAAAGCACGATAATGCCCCAAATGCGCGTTGTCAGAAGGGAATGGGAAGATTTTGGCCTCTTGGGACTCTCCTGGGAGGTCCTCCAGGGCCGTCTTGGGAGCCTCCTGGCCTGCCTTGGGAGCTTTTAGGGCCGTCGAAGCGGCCTTTTGAGCAGCTCGGGGCCGTATGTTGGCCGTCTCGGGGGCGTCTAGGGGCCCACTTGGCCCGTCTGGAGGCTTCCCTGGGCGGCCTGGTGCGGCCCGGTGCCAGCCCGAGAGCGGTGTTGCGACTTTGGGTCCCCCGCCATTCTGGCACGCGGCTCCCCTGGCGGTAGAATATAGACTGCGTCGGGCTCCAATTTCGCCTCACGCATCTCCCTAAGCAGCGCCAAAGCCCGCTGCCATTGCTCGCTCTTTCCACACGCGCTGATTCCAGCGCTGTAGCTGATGACGTCGGGCTCCAGCTTCGCTTCCCACATCCCGCCGAACAGCGCCAGGGCCCGCTGCCACTGCTCGCCCTTCTCGCACGCGCTGATCCCAGCGCTGTAGCTGACTAGGGCAGACCTGTGGACTCCGTCCACGACATCAGCTCGACGTGGCGAGGGGTCTCTGGGCAAGCGCGGCGTGCCTGTCGCCTCTCGTCCGCTCCCCCGCTCCTGGAGGGAATTCTGAAGCCACTGAAGGCTTCGTGGGGGCCGTTTCGGAGCCTCTTCGGCCTTCTTTTGGGCCTCCCGGGGGGGCTCTTAGGGCCCTCTCGGGCCGTCTTGGGTGCCTCTTGGGCCGTCTTGGGGCCGTCTGAGGCCCGCCTCGGCGCCTCTTGGGCTGTCTTGGGCCGTCTTGGGCCGCTCCTGGGGCCGTCTTGGGTGCCTATTGGGCCGTCTTGGGCGCCTCCTGGGCCGTCCTGGGGCCGTCCTGGGGCGTCTTGGGACCGTCTTGGGGCCCTCCTGGCCCGTCTTGGGGCCCTCCTGGCTCTTGGGGCTCTCTTGGGGTCCTCTTCGGCCGTCTTGGAGCGGTCGGGGGGACTTCTTGGGCCGTCTTGGAGCGTCGGGAAGCCGAAGAGGCGAGGAGGCCGAAAACATCGAAAAACACAATAGAAATCTACGATTTCTGTCGCTCGGGGCCCTCTTGGGAGGCCTCTTGGGAGGCCTCTTCGGGCGTCTTGGACGCCTCTTGGGCCGTCTGGGGCGAATCTCGGGCGTCTTGGGCCCATCTTGAAGCGTGCCGGGGCTCTCCGGGGCCGTCTTGGGGGCTTCTGGGGGCCCTCTCAACATGTCCTGGAGCCTGCCTGGGCGGCCCGGGGCGGCCCGGGGCCAGCCCGGGGCGGTTTTGGTGCATTGGGGCCTGCGCCCTTCTGGCACGCACTGGGCCCTGTAGTAGAGATGACGTCGGGCTTCAGCTTGGCCTCCCAAGTCTCGCTTAGCAGCGCCAGAACCCGCTGCCACTGCTCGCCCTTCTCGCACGCGCTAATCGCAGCATTGTAGCTGATGATGTTTGGCTTCAGCTTCACCTCCCACATCTCGCTGAGCAGCGCCAGGGCCCGCTGCCACTGCTCGCCCTTCTCGCACGCACTGATCCCAGTATTGTAGCTGACTAGGGCAGACCTGTGGACTCCGTCCACGACATCAGCTCGACGTGGCGAGGGGTCTCTGGGCAAGCGCGGGGGGGTGCGGCTGCAGGGCCGAAAGGCAATCATGATGGCGTCGGGCTCCTCCTCCTCCTCCTCCTCCTCCTCCTCCTCCTCCTTTCCACCTTCTTCTCCTCTTTCGCTGGATTCTCCATGCCCTCGGTCGGCAATCGTCGATCCTACGACGACTCTCCCCAACAGAGAAACATCGAAGGCCCTCGGAGCGTCCAACATTGTTCTTTTGTGCCTTCGATATGCCGGTCGCCTCTCGTCCGCTCCCCCGCTCCTGGAAGGAATTCTGAAGGCACTGAAGGCTTCGTAGGGGCCGTTTCGGAGCCTCTTCGGCCTTCGTTTGGGCCTCGCGGGGGGGCTCTTAGGGCTCTCTCGGGCCGTCTTGGGTGCCTCTTGGGCCGTCTTCGGGCCATCTGAGGCCCTCCTTGGCGCCTCTTCGGCTGTCGTGGGCCGTCTTGGGCCGCTCCTGGGGCCGTCTTGGGTGCCTCTTGGGCCGTCTTGGGCGCCTCCTGGGCCGTCCGGACGCCGTCCTGCGGCGTCTTGGGACCGTCTTGGGGCCCTCCTGGCCCGTCTTGGGGCTCTCTTGGGGTCCTCTTCGGCCGTCTTGGAGCGGTCGGGGGGGCGTCTTGGGCCGTCTTGGAGCGTCGGGAAGGCGACGAGGCGAGGAGGCCGAAAACATTGACAAACACAATAGAAATCGACGATTTCTGTCGCTCGGGGCCCTCTTGGGAGGCCTCTTGGGAGGCGGGCGTCTTGGACGCCTCGAGGGCCTCCTGGGGCGAATCTCGGACGTCTTGGGCGCTCTTGGGCTGTCTTGGGCCGTCTTGGGCCGCTCCTGGGGCCGTCTTGGGTGCCTCTTGGGCCGTCTTGGGCGCCTCCTGGGCCGTCCTGGGGCCGTCCTGCGGCGTCTTGGGACCGTCTGGGGGCCCTCCTGGCCCGTCTTGGGGCTCTCTTGGTATCCTCTTCGGCCGTCTTGGAGCGGTCGGGGGGGCGTCTTGGGCCGTCTTGGAGCGTCGGAAAGCCGACGAGGCGAGGAGGCCAAAAACATTGAAAAACACAATAGAAATCGACGATTTCTGTCGCTCGGGGCCCTCTTGGGAGGCCTCTTGGGAGGCCTCTTCGGGCGTCTTGGACGCCTCGAGGGCCTCCTGGGGCGAATCTCGGGCGTCTTGGGCGCTCTTGGGCTGTCTTGGGCCGTCTTGGGCCGCTCCTGGGGCCGTCTTGGGTGCCTCTTGGGCCGTCTTGGGCGCCTCCTGGGCCGTCCTGGGGCCGTCCTGCGGCGTCTTGGGACCGTCTGGGGGCCCTCCTGGCCCGTCTTGGGGCTCTCTTGGGGTCCTCTTCGGCCGTCTTGGAGCGGTCGGGGGGACTTCTTGGGCCGTCTTGGAGCGTCGGAAAGCCGAAGAGGCGAGGAGGCCGAAAACACCGAAAAACACAGTAGAAATCGACGCTTTCTGTCGCTCGGGGCCCTCTTGGGAGGCCTCTTGGGAGGCCTCTTCGGGCGTCTTGGACGCCTCGAGGGCCGCCTGGGGCGACTCTCGGACGTCTTGGGCGCATCTTTAAGCGTGCCGGGGCTCTCCGGGGCCGTCTTGGGGGATTTTTGGGACCCTCTGGACGTGTCTTGGGGCCTCCCTGGGCGGCCCGGAGCCAGCCCGGGGCGGTTTTGGTTCATTGGAGCCTGCACCATTCTGGCACGCACTGGGCCCTGCAATGTAGTAGAGACTAGTGTGAACCCGTGGAAAATCCACGGCCCGCAGGTCCAGGCGTTGGTCCCGCACGCGCACGTGTCGGAAGCGCTGGAAGCGTCAAAATTAATGTGTTTTTGCTAATCGCGCGAGGCCTGGGCGCGATTAGCAGAAACACGTAGGTTTTCAGACACAATCAGAATAAGGGGGCCCGAACGATCTTACATAATCCCTGTGCGCGAGAAGTTCGATGTGGGGGGTGGACGCGTGGGGGCCAGAGTTGGGCGTTACGTTGGGGGGCCTCGTTTGAGGGCCACGTTGGGGGGTCTCGTCAGGGGGTCATGATTGGGGGCAACGTTCGCGGCCCTGCCGGGCGCCATGTTTGGGGGCCGCGTGCGGCACATGTGACGGTCGCGTTTGAGGGTGCGGGGTTCGGGGGCAGATGTGACGGTCACGTTTGAGGGCAATGGTTGGGGGCTGTGTGTGTTGGGGCCACGTTTGGGGGCGCCTGGGGGCTACGCGTGGGGTTGACGTTCGGGGGCCACGCTTACTGGGGCGGTAGGGGCGACCTTCGGAGGCTTTGTATGGGGGCCGCCTTTGGGGGTCCCGTTTGGAGGCCACGCGTGGGGCCGACGTGTAAGGGGCCACGTCCAGGGGCGATCTCAGAAAGCAGTCGGGGAGCCCCGGAGGCACTGACCTGGAAGCGTGAAAAGGAATGGGTTTTTGCTAATCGCGCTGGGACTGTGCGCGATCACCCCAAACTCAAGCCATGGTCCACAGGGCCCTCGAGGCACGTCTCTGGGGCATTTCGAGGCTGTCGTGGGGGTCTGGCAGGATCGGCTTCGGCTCTCTTGGACGTCTTTGGGGCCGTCTTGGAGCGATCTGGGGGTCCGGGAGCCGTCGGGGAGCGCTCCAGGGGCGTCCTGGGGGCGTCGGGGAGCGGCTCAGAGCTCTGGCAGGTCGAAGCCAGCAGAACCGAGAGAGCAGCGGCGCGGCGCCCGATACAGCCAAGGGTGCGGGTGCTGGGATACGTAGGGCTCCGAACCTGCTGTAGTGGCCTGCGGGCAATGTCGCTGCGGGCCTGGGTAATGGGTAAGAGATCTCGTGGATGTTGGTTAGGATCTCGTGGCTGGTCTCTCGGGAGCCTCTGGGAGACAGTTTGGGGGCTTCTTGGTAGCAGTTTGGGGGCGTCCTGGGGCCTCTTGGGCCCTCTTTTGGGGCCTCTTGGAAGCCTTTTGGGGCGCTTGGCGGCCTCTGGGGGGCCTCTTGGAGCCTCTGTGGGGCGTCCTGGGGCCTCCTGGGGATGTCTTGGGAGCGTCCCGGCGTTTCTTTGGGGCTTCCTGGGGGCCTTTGGGGTGGAGGCCTAACTTTTTCGGTTCCGGGTCCCTGTCTTGGGCCTCTCTTGGGGCCTTCTTGGGGCCCTCTTGGGCTGTCTTGGGCGACTCCTGGGCCGTCTTGGGGCCCTCTTGGGCCGTCTTGTGGCCGTCTTGAAGGCCTCTTGGGCCGTCTCGGAACGGTCTGGGGGGGGCCTCTTGGGCGGTCTTGGAGCGTCGGAAAGCCGAAAGCACGAAAAGGCCAGAAACATCGGAAAAAACAAAGAAAATCAACGACTTTGGTTTCTGCGGCCCCTCTTGGAGGTACACTTCGAGCGCTCTGGGGGCCTCGTGGAGGCGTCCCGGGCCGTCTTGAAGGCGTCTTGAAGCCACTTTGAGCATCTCGGATCCACTCTTGGACCGTCTTGGGCCGTCTTCGGGACCTCCTGAGGCCGTCTTGGGGCGATCTGGGAATCCTGGATCAGTCCGCCAGCGGTCTGGGGGCCTCCCGGGCCCGTCGGGCAGCGGCCCGGAGGCTCTCCGGGCGGCCCGCGAGCTCTCTGGGCGGCCCGGGGCGCTGCCACTGCCTGACCTTCTCGCGCGCGCTTCGCCCGGAATTGTAGTACAGACTAGGGCTGACCCGCGGCCCTCCGGCCGCGGAATATGCCCGCCATGGCTTCGACGTGGAAGAGAAGCCTCTTTGGGGCCTCGCGGGTAAGGGGTGGTTGGAGGGGACGGCGTGGATGGAGGAGGTGCCCGCTGGAGGTGGAGGTGGGCGAGGGATGCAGGCAAGCAGGCCTGAAGGCAGGAACGCAGTGGAGGCGGTGTCAGTGGAAACACACCCGTGCCTGTGCCTGGGTAATTGCTCAGAGGCCTCTGGGGTCCCTCTTAGAGGCAGCTTTGGGGCCTCTTGGGGGCCGTCTTGGGGCCTCGTGGGGGTTGCTTTGGGCTTCTTCGGGGCCTCTGGGGATCTCGTGGCGTTCCATTGGGGCGGTCTTGGGGCCTTCGTATGGGTGCTCAGGGCTCGGAATGTCAGGGTTTTTCCCCGTTCTTTGGCCCCCTTCTTGGGCCTGGCTTGGAGTCCTCTGGGGCCGTCTTGGGCGCCTCTTGGGCCATCTTGGGGCTCCCTGGCCCGTCTGGGGACGCGCTTGGAGGCCTGCTGGGCCGTCCTGGGGCGGTCTTGTGGGTCTCTTCGGCCGCCTTGGAGCGTCGGCCAGCCGAGAAGGCGAGAAGGCACAATTCCTTCAACAACTGCGAAAAATAAAGGAGTTTGGCCTCTGGGGGCACGCTTCGGAGGACTGCTGGAGGCTCTTAAAGGTCTCTTTGGCCTTGTTGGGGGCCTCTAGGGGGCCTCTTGGACGCTCCGTGGAGCCCCTTATGGGGCCACTTGGGCGCCGTCTTGGGGCCTCGTGGGGCTTACTTGGGGCTTCTTGGGTGCCTCTGGGGACCTCTTGGCGTTCACTTGGGGGGGTCTTGGGGCCCTGTGTGGGAGTATGGGGCCCAGGGCTCGGAGTGTCAGGGTTTCCCCCCGTTCTTTGGCCCCCTCTTGGGCCTGGCTTGGGGTCCTCTGGGGCTGCCTTGGGCGCCTCTTGGGCCATCTTGGGGCTCCCTGGCCCGTCTGGGGACGCGCTTGGAGGCCTGTTGGACCGTCCTGGGGCGGTCTTGTGGGTCTCTTCGGCCGCCTTGGAGCGTCGGCCAGCCGAGAAGGCGAGAAGGCAAAACTCCTTCAAACATTACCCCCAAAAAACAAAGGATGTTGGCCTCTGGGGGCATGCTTCAGAGGACTGGTGGAGGCTCGTGGAGGCCTCTTTGGCCTTGTTGGGGGCCTCTAGGGGGCCTCTTGGACGCTCCGTGGAGCCTCTTATGGGGCCACTTGGGGGCCGTCTTGGAGCGAGCCTCGTGGGGCTTACTTGGGGTTTCTTGGGTGCCTCTGGGGACTTTTTGGCGTTCCCTTGGGGGCGTCTTGGGGCCTTGTGTGGGCGTATGGAGGCCCAGGGCTCGGAGTGTCATGGTTTTGCCATGTTCTTTGGCCCCCTCTTGGGCCTGGCTTGGGGTCCTCTGGGGCCGTCTTGGGCGCCTCTTGGGCCATCTTGGGGCTCCCTGGGCCGTCAGGGTTCTTCTCCCTTTCGTGGCCCCCTCTTGGGCCTGGCTTGGGGTCCTCTGGGGCCGTTTTGGGCGCCTCTTGGACCATCGTGGGGCTCCCTGGGCCGTCTGGGGACGCGCTTGGAAGTCTGCTGGGCCGTCCTGGGGCGGTCTTGTGGGTCTCTTCGGCCGTCTTGAAGCGTCGGCTAGCCGAGAAGGCGAGAAGGCAAAACACCTGCAACAAACATGGACAATTAAAGATGTTGGCCTCTGGGGGCACGCTTCGGATGACTGCTGGAGGCTTTTGAAGGCCTGTTGGCCTTGTTGGGGGCCTCTAGGGGGCCTCTTGGACGCTCCGTGGGGCCTCTTATGGAGCCACTTGGGCGCCGTCTTGGGGCCTCGTGGGGCTTACTTGGGGCCTCTTCGGGAACTCTGGAGACCTCGTGGCGTTCCATTGGGGCGATCTTGGGGCCTTCGTATGGGTGCCCAGGGCTCGGAATGTCACGGTGTTTCCCGTTCTTTGGCCCCCTTCTTGGGCCTGGCTTGGGGTCCTCTGGGGCCGTCTTGGGCGCCTCTTGGGCCGTCTTGGGGCTCCCTGGGCCGTCTGGGGACGCGCTTGGAGGCCTGCTGGGCCGTCCTGGGGCGGTCTTGTGGGTCTCTTCGGCCGTCTTGGAGCGTCGGCTAGCCGAGAAGGCGAGAAGGCAAAACACCTGCAACAAACATGAACAATTAAAGATTTTGGCCTCCTGGGGCCCTCCTGGGAAGCCTCTTCGGCGTCTCTTGGGCCGTCGTAGAGGCGTCTTGGGCCGTCTTGGCGCCGCAAAAGGCAGTCTTTGCTTGTCGTGGAGCGCTCTAGGAGCGTCTTGGGGATACCTTGGGCCGTCCTGGGAGCCTCTTGGTGTCGCCCTGGGGCCTTTTTGAGCGCCTCTTGGGCTCTCTTGACGCCCTCTCGGGCCGGTTTTCGTGCGTCTTGGGGGCCTCTTGGGCCGTCTTGGGGCGGTCGTGGGGACCTGGAACCAACTTCTGCGCCATATTCCCGACAAGCAGCGCATGCTAAAAGTGAGCGCTTGTCTTCGGGAAAACATCGCCTCTGGGGGCCATCCTTGGACGCCTCTTGGGCGTCTCTGGGGCCGTCGTGGAGGCCTCCTGGGCCGTCTGGGGTTTGTTTTCGGCGGTCTTGGGCTCTCTTGGAGCGCTCTTGGGCCGTCTTGGGGGTGTGTGGGGCCGTCCTGGGCGCCTCCTGGGAGCCTCTTGGGGCCGCCTGGGGGCCGTGTTGGGCGCCTCTTGGGTCTCTTGACGCTCTCGCGGGCCGGTTTTCGTGCCTCTGGGGGGGCCTCTTGGGCCGTCTTGGGGCGGTCGTGGGGACCTCTTGTCCCATCTTCTGCGCCATACTCCCGACAAGCAGTGTGTGCTAAAATTTGACGCTTTTCGTTTGGAAAACCATGATTTGGGCCTGTGGGGGCCATCCTGGGACGCCTCTTGGGCGTCTCTGGGGCCGTCGTGGAAGCCTCCTGGGCCTTGTCGGGGCCGTTTTCGGCGGTCTTGAGCTCTCTTGGAGCGCTCTTGGGCCGTTTTGGAAGTGTCTGGGGCCGTCCTAGGCGCCTCTTGGGCCGCGTGAGCGCCTCTGGGGCGTCCCCGGAGCCGTTGTGGGGCATTTTCGCTCGATCAAGACAGGGACCCTTCCCGCACGCACGGGTCCCTTCATTGTAGAGAAGACTTCTCTGGGCTCCAATTTCGCCTCACGCATCTCCCTAAGCAGCGCCAGAGCCCGCTGCCACTGCTCGCTCTTCTCGCACGCGCTGATTCCGGCGCTGTAGCTGATGACAGTGGGCTCCAGCTTCGCCTCCCGCATCTCGCGGAGAAGCGCCAGGGCCCGCTGCCACTGCTTGCCCTTCTCGCACGCGCTGATCCCAGCGCTGTAGCTGATGACTGTGGGTTCCAGCTTCGCCTCCAGAATCTCGCCGAACAGCGCACAAGCCCGCTGCCACTGCTCGCCCTTCTCGCACGCACTGATCCCAGCGTTGTAGCTGACTAGGGCAGACCTGTGGACTCCGTCCACGACATCAGCTCGACGTGGCGAGGGGTCTCTGGGCAAGCGCGGGGGGGTGCGGCTGCAGGGCCGAAAGGCAATCATGATGGCGTCGGGCTCCTCCTCCTCCTCCTCCTCCTCCTCCTCCTCCTCCTCCTCCTTTTCCACCTTCTTCTCCTCTTTCGCTGGATTCTCCATGCCCTCGGTCGGCAATCGTCGATCCTACGACGACTCTCCCCAACAGAGAAACATCGAAGGCCCTCGGAGCGTCCAACATTGTTCTTTTGTGCCTTCGATATGCCGGTCGCCTCTCGTCCGCTCCCCCGCTCCTGGAAGGAATTCTGAAGGCACTGAAGGCTTCGTAGGGGCCGTTTCGGAGCCTCTTCGGCCTTCGTTTGGGCCTCGCGGGGGGGCTCTTAGGGCTCTCTCGGGCCGTCTTGGGTGCCTCTTGGGCCGTCTTCGGGCCATCTGAGGCCCTCCTTGGCGCCTCTTCGGCTGTCGTGGGCCGTCTTGGGCCGCTCCTGGGGCCGTCTTGGGTGCCTCTTGGGCCGTCTTGGGCGCCTCCTGGGCCGTCCGGACGCCGTCCTGCGGCGTCTTGGAACCGTCTTGGGGCCCTCCTGGCCCGTCTTGGGGCTCTCTTGGGGTCCTCTTCGGCCGTCTTGGAGCGGTCGGGGGGGCGTCTTGGGCCGTCTTGGAGCGTCGGAAAGCCGACGAGGCGAGGAGGCCAAAAACATTGAAAAACACAATAGAAATCGACGATTTCTGTCGCTCGGGGCCCTCTTGGGAGGCCTCTTCGGGCGTCTTGGACGCCTCGAGGGCCTCCTGGGGCGAATCTCGGACGTCTTGGGCGCTCTTGGGCTGTCTTGGGCCGTCTTGGGCCGCTCCTGGGGCCGTCTTGGGTGCCTCTTGGGCCGTCTTGGGCGCCTCCTGGGCCGTCCTGGGGCCGTCCTGCGGCGTCTTGGGACCGTCTGGGGGCCCTCCTGGCCCGTCTTGGGGCTCTCTTGGTATCCTCTTCGGCCGTCTTGGAGCGGTCGGGGGGGCGTCTTGGGCCGTCTTGGAGCGTCGGAAAGCCGACGAGGCGAGGAGGCCAAAAACATTGAAAAACACAATAGAAATCGACGATTTCTGTCGCTCGGGGCCCTCTTGGGAGGCCTCTTGGGAGGCCTCTTCGGGCGTCTTGGACGCCTCGAGGGCCTCCTGGGGCGAATCTCGGGCGTCTTGGGCGCTCTTGGGCTGTCTTGGGCCGTCTTGGGCCGCTCCTGGGGCCGTCTTGGGTGCCTCTTGGGCCGTCTTGGGCGCCTCCTGGGCCGTCCTGGGGCCGTCCTGCGGCGTCTTGGGACCGTCTGGGGGCCCTCCTGGCCCGTCTTGGGGCTCTCTTGGGGTCCTCTTCGGCCGTCTTGGAGCGGTCGGGGGGACTTCTTGGGCCGTCTTGGAGCGTCGGAAAGCCGAAGAGGCGAGGAGGCCGAAAACACGAAAAACACAGTAGAAATCGACGATTTCTGTCGCTCGGGGCCCTCTTGGGAGGCCTCTTGGGAGGCCTCTTCGGGCGTCTTGGACGCCTCTTGGGCCGCCTGGGGCGAATCTCGGGCGTCTTGGGCCCATCTTTAAGCGTGCCGGGGCTCTCCGGGGCCGTCTTGGGGGCTTCTGGGGGCCCTCCCGACATGTCCTGGAGCCTGCCTGGGCGGCCCGGGGCCAGCCCGGGGCGGTTTTGGTGCATTGGAGCCTGCGCCATTCTGGCACGCACTGGGCCCTGCAATGTAGTAGAGACTAGGGCAGACCTGTGGACTCCGTCCACGACATCAGCTCGACGTGGCGAGGGGTCTCTGGGCAAGCGCGGGGGGGTGCGGCTGCAGGGCCGAAAGGCAATCATGATGCCTTCGATATGCCGGTCGCCTCTCGTCCGCTCCCCCCCTCTTGGAAGCAATGCTGAGGCCACACAGGGCTTCGTGGGGGCCGTTTGGGGATCTCTTGGGGCGTTTTTGCCTGCGATATGCCTGTCGCCTCTCGTCCGCTCCCCCGCTCCTGGAGGGAATTCTGAAGCCACTGAAGGCTTCGTGGGGGCCGTTTCGGAGCCTCTTCGGCCTTCTTTTGGGCCTCCCGGGGGGGCTCTTAGGGCCCTCTCGGGCCGTCTTGGGTGCCTCTTGGGCCGTCTTGGGGCCGTCTGAGGCCCGCCTCGGCGCCTCTTGGGCTGTCTTGGGCCGTCTTGGGCCGCTCCTGGGGCCGTCTTGGGTGCCTCTTGGGCCGTCTTGGGCGCCTCCTGGGCCGTCCTGGGGCCGTCCTGGGGCGTCTTGGGACCGTCTCCCTCCTGGCCCGTCTTGGGGCTCTCTTGGGGTCCTCTTCGGCCGTCTTGGAGCGGTCGGGGGGACTTCTTGGGCCGTCTTGGAGCGTCGGGAAGCCGAAGAGGCGAGGAGGCCGAAAACATCGAAAAACACAATAGACATCGACGATTTCTGTCGCTCGGGGCCCTCTTGGGAGGCCTCTTGGGAGGCCTCTTCGGGCGTCTTGGACGCCTCTTGGGCCGTCTGGGGCGAATCTCAAGCGTCTTGGGCCCATCTTTAAGCGTGCCGGGGCTCTCCGGGGCCGTCTTGGGGGCTTCTGGGGGCCCTCTCGACATGTCCTGGAGCCTGCCTGGGCGGCCCGGGGCGGCCCGGGGCCAGCCCGGAGCGGTTTTGACTCATTGGAGCCTGCGCCCTTCTGGCACGCACTGGGCCCTGCAATGTAGTAGAGACTAGGGCTGACCCGCGGCCTCCGGCGCCGCGGAAGTTGCCCGCCCTGGCGTGGACGTGGAAGTGGAGCGTCTCTGGGGCCTCGCGGGTAAGGGGTGTTGGAGGGGACGGCGTGGATAGAGGAGGTGGCCGCTGGAGGGGAAGGTGAGCGAGGGATGCAGGCAAGCAGGCCTGAAGGCAGGTACGCGTTGGTGGAGGCGGTGTCAGTGGAAGCACACCCATGTAGGCATGACATCGTGTGGACAGACGCTGTTTCTAACGCCGCAGTCTGTGTTCATCATAGCTTCTCCGGGGCCGAATAGTGATTTCATCTGGCAGTGTGGTGACAATGGGGCCAGTGGGCGCGGCCTAGGACCTAGGAGGCCCGTAAGAGGGCGGCGAGACGGAACTCCCTAAGAAGGGCCCCAGAGCAAGGACACGAATCGACTCTCCAAGACGTCTCCAAGTAGCGCAAAGATGGTTCCCAGAGGGTCCAAGAAGCCTCCAAAACGATGCTAGAAGTTCGACGCTCCCCAAAAGAGAAGCATCCAAGGCCTCTCGGGGGCCGCTTGGGGGCCTCTTTTCGTCCTCCTGGGGGTGGGTCTCTCGAAGCCCTCTTTGGCAATCTTGAATGCTTCTTGGGCCGTGTTGGGGCGATGTGGGGCCGTCTTGGGTGCCTCTCGGACCATCTTGGAACAATCTTGGGCCATCTTGCGCCAATATTGGGCGCTACTGGGGCTGTCTTTGGTGTTTCTTGAGCCGTCGCGGGCGCCTCTGGAGCCGCCCTGGACGGCCCAGAGACCGTCTTGGAGACTGTCCAAACGGAAAAGCCTGGAGACGGGGCGGCGGGGGCCTCCACAGCCGTCTTGGAGACGGGGCGGTGGAGCCGTCTTGGGCCATTATGAACTGCTCTTGGGGCTGTCTTGGGTGCGTTTTGGGCCGTCTCGGACGCCTCTGGAGCCGTCCCGGGGCAGTGTGTGGCCCTTTGGGCGACCTCATGGGGGCGTCTGGGCGCGTCTTGGGGCGAGCCGGGGGGCCTGTATAGCCTTCTGGACGCTGCGGGGACGAAAAAGCAAGGTATTTTGAAAATGTGCGTTTCCCGTCGGTAAAGGGACGGTTTGGGCCTCTTGGACTCTTCTGGAGGCTCTCCTAGGCCGTCTTGGGAGCCTCCCGGCCTGCCTTGGGGGCCTCTAACTGACTTCGTCGGGCTCCAATTTCGCCTCACGCATCTCCCTAAGCAGCGCCACAGCCCGCTGCCATTGCTCGCTCTTTTCGCACGCGCTGATTCCAGCGTTGTAACTGATGACGTTCGGCTCCACGCTCGCCTCCCGCATCTCGCCGAGTAGAGCGCAAGCCCGCTGCCACTGCTCGCCCTTTCCGCACGCACTGATCCCAGCGCTGTAGCTGATGACGTCGGGCTCCAGCTTCGCCTCCCACATCCCGCTGAGCAGCGCACAAGCCCGCTGCCATTGCTCGGTCTTTTCGCACGCGCTGATTCCAGCGCTGTAGCTGACTAGGGCTGACCCGTAGACTCCGTCCACGACATCTTTCTGGAATGGTTCTCGGAGGAACGGCGTAGATTGCACCGAAAATCTACAAACACGGCGGCGGCTCGGGCGGCGGCAGCGAGACCGCGCCTTCGCGTCCGAGCTCTTGCAGCGCTCCAGCAGCTTGGCCCAGCGCACTGCTGGTTCACCCCCCCTCCAATTGAGGGCAATTTCGAAGTCTCTCGGGGATGTGCGTCGAAGTCGAAGCCCATCTGAGGCGTCTCAGGAGCGCCCGGGGAAGGGCTCGGGAGGCCATCGGGGAAAACCACCGAAATCGCCAGGGAGGCTCGCAAGGATCTACAGGGAGGGCCCAAGAGAGCTTCAAGAAAATGCGAAATTCAGTTAAAATCTTTAGAGAAACCGCTGTTGGGTCGGCCATCACCTCCGGGCACGCCTTGATGGTGCGATCCAGTCGCATCACCGCCAACGGGAGGGTTTGTTCGCCATGTCCCATTCTATTCGCCCAGGGGGTCTGCGGAGGCCTTCGGGCGAACAGAACGGGACAGGGCAAGGAATGGGGAAGACTTGTCCGAATCTCCTGGGCCCCCCAGGTGCTCGTCCGAAGAATGCGGAGAGGTCCCTGGGTTATATCAATTGGCTGCTGTCCCTGGGGTCCGGTCTGGTTGGCCTGGAGAGTTTGCCAAGGCCCCTGGGGGAACAGAATGGCACAGCATATCGGGCAAATGGGGGGCGGTAGCTGGTCTGTCAAACCCAGCGTTCGCCTTCTGCCCAAGCGGCGCGGGGCCCACGGGCCCCAGGGTTGGCGGCCCGCTGGGTTTCTCCTTGTTCGCCCACAGGGTTGGAGGAGGCCTCCAGGCGAACAGAATGGGGCAGGACAATGAATGTGGGAGACTTGTCGCAAGCTCCCAGCCCCCCAAGTGTTCGCCCGAAGGGTGTGGGGCCGCGTTGGCTCCCTCAAAGGGCCGTCTTGGAGCCGTCTAGGCCCGTCTTGAGGGCGCCGTTTGCCGTGATGGAGCCGTCTTGGTTCGTCGTGGGCCCCTCATGGGCGCGTCCGTAGGCCGTCCTGGGCCCATCGGGGTCCTTGTTGGCACTATCGTGGGGCTGTCTTGGAGCCGTCTGGGACCGTGAGGGGACCGCCTTGGAGTCGTCTTGGGCCCCTCCTGTGCGCCTCCTTGGGCCCCAGCAGGGGCCGTGTTGGCACCCTCTTGGGGATGTCTTGGAGCCGTCTTGAGACGTCGCAGCGCGCCTGGGGTTGTGCTGGGTCCGACTTGGCCCGTCTTGGGGCCTTCCTGGGCGTTTCCTCTGACCCTCCTGGGACTTTCTGGGGCCTCTTGGTGCATCGGACCGCCGAAATGGCGGGAAACGCAAAGGGTATAACAGTAAACAATGGAAAATCTAGATTCTTGCAAACTAAGGTTCTCTTGCCATCTTGGCCCGTCTTGAGGCCTCTGTTGGGCTATTTTGGAGGCTGTTGGGGCCTCTGTTGGGCCCTCGTTTGGGCTCCTTGGGAGCCTCCTGGGGCTTCTTCGGAGGATTCTTGGCGGGCCCTTGGGGCCTCTTGGGGGCATGTTTGGGCCTCCTGGCGCCCTCTTGGGGCGGAAGGCTCGGATTTTCGGTCCGTGGTCCCCCTCTTGGCCCCCTCTTGGGCCTGTCTTCGGGCCCTCGTGGGCCGTCTTGAGCGTCTCTTGGGTCGTCTTGGGGCCCTCTTAGGCTGTCTTGGGACGCTCTTGGAGGCCCCTTGGGCCGTTCTGGGGCGCTCTTGGAGGCCTCTTGGGCCGTCTTCGAGCGTCGGAAAGCGGAAAAGACGCGAAGGCCCAAACCCTTCCAAAACCGTTTAAGTGGATGATTTTGGCCGCTCGGGTTCCTCGGGGAATACGCTTGCAGGCCTCTTGTGCCGTCTGAGCGGCCTCTTGGAGCGCTCTTTGGGCGTCTCGGGAGCTCCTTGAGCTGACTTGGGGGCCTCTTGGGGCCTCCCGAGCCTCTCCGGAGCCGCCCGGGGCGTCTCTAAACCGCGCCGCCCGGGGCCGGGGCGTCGGAGGACCTCCCCGACCCCCGCCCCTCTCGCACGCGCGTGTGCCTGCAATGTAGTAGAGATGACGTCGGGCTCCAGCTTCGCCTCCCACATCTCGCTCAGCAGCGCTAGGGCCCGCTGCCACTGCTCGCCCTTTCCGCACGCGCTGATCCCAGCGCTGTAGCTGACTAGTGTGAACCCGTGGAAAATCCACGGCCCGCAGGTCCAGGCATTGGTCCCGAACGCGCACGTGTCGGAAGCGCTGGAAGCGTCAAAAGTATGTGTTTTTGCTGATCGCGCGAGCCTGGGCGCGATTAGCAGAAACACGTAGGTTTTCAGACGCAATCAGAGTAAGGGGGCCCGAACGATCTTACAGAGTCCCTGTGCGCGAGAAGTACGATGTGGGGGGTGGACGCGTGGGGGCCAGAGTTGGGCGCTACGTTGGGGGGCCTCGTTTGAGGGCCACGTTTGGGGGTCTCGTCAGGGTGTCATGGTTGGGGCCAACGTTCGCGGCCCTGCCGTGGGCCATGTTTGGGGGCCGCGTGCGGGGTTCGGGGGCCCATGTGACGGTCGCGTTTGAGGGTGCGGGGTTCGGGGGCAGATGTGACGGTCACGTTTGAGGGCAGTGGTTGGGGGCTGTGTGTGTTGGGGCCACGTTTGGCGGCGCCTGGGGGCTACGCGTGGGGTTGACGTTCGGGGGCCACGCTTACTGGGGCGGTAGGGGCGACCTTCGGAGGCTTTGTGTGGGGGCCGCCTTTGGGGGTCCCGTTTGGAGGCCGCGCGTGGGGCCGACGTGTAAGGGGCCACGTCCAGGGGCGTTCTCAGAAAGCAGTCGGGGAGCCCCGGGGGCACTGACCTGGAAGCGTGAAAAGGACTGGGTTATTGCTAATCGCGCTGGGACTGGGCGCGATCAGAAAACTCAAGGGTTTTCAGGCACCGTCAGAGTGAAGGGGCCACGTTAGCGGGCCCGCGCAGGGTGGTCCTGGGGCCATCTCGGGGTTCTCGGGCCGTCGAGATGGCCGTCTCGAGAGCTCTGGCAGATCGAAGCCAGCAGAACCGAGAGAGCAGCGATGAGGCCCCCGATGCAGCCAAGGGTGCGGGTGCTGGTATACGTAGGGCCCCCGAACCGGCTGTAGTGGCCTGCGGGCAATCTCGCCGCGGGCCAGGGTAATGGGTAAGAGATCTCGTGGATGTTGGTTGGGATCTCGTGGTTGGCCTCTCGGGAGCCTCTGGGAGACAGATTGGGGGCTTCTTGGTAGCAGTTTGGGGGCGTCTTGGGGCCTCTTGGGCCCTCTTTGGGGGCCTCTTGGGAGTCTTTTGGGGCGCTCGGCGACCGCTGGGGGGCCTCTTGGAGCCTCTTTGGGGCGCCCTGGGGCCTCCTGGGGATGTCTTGGGAGCGTCCCGGCGGTTCTTTGGGGCGTCCTGGGGCTTCCTGGGGGCCGCGTGGGGTGGAGGCCTAGATTTTTCGGTTCCGGGTCCCTGTCTTGGGCTTCTCTTGGGGTCTTCTTGGGGCCCTCTTGGGCCGTCTTGGGCGGCTCTTGGGCCGTCTTGGGGCCCTCTTGGGCCGTCTTGGGGCCGTCTTGAGACCTCTTGGGCCGTCTTGGAACGGTCTTGGGGGCCTTTTCGGCAGCCGTGGAGCGTCGGAAAGCCGAAAAAGCGAGAAGGCCAGAAACATTTGAAAAAACATGGAAAATCTACGATTTTGGCTTCTGCGGCCCCTCTTGGAGGTGCACTTCGAGCGTTGCGGGGGCCTCGTGGAGGCTTCTCGGGCCGTCTTGAAGGCGTCTTGAAGCCATCTTAAGCGTCTCGGATACATTCTTGGACCGTCTTGGGCCGTCTTCGGGACCTCCTGAGGCCGTCTGGGGGCGATCTGGGAATCCTGGATCAGTCCGCGAGCGGTCCGGGGGCCTCCTGGGCCCGTCAGGCAGCGGCCCGGAGGCTCTGCGGCCGGCCCGCGAGCTCTCTGGGCGGCCTGGGGCGCTGCCACTGTGCACGCGCTTCGCCCGGAATTGTAGTACAGATGACTGTGGGTACCAGCTTCGCCTCCCGCATCTCGCTGAGCAGCGACAGTGCCCGCTGCCACTGCCCAGTTTTTCTGCATGCGCTGACAATCGAAATGTAGTGGCTTGAACAGAGTTTCGCACCAAATCGGATTCTTCCACGGAGCAATTGCAGTGCTACGATCCATTGTGTTGTTTGACCAGGCTTCTTGATCGCCCCGGAGGTCACGGCGGGTTTCCAAGACCTTCGCCAATTATGTGACATACACAGCGGTATCGCAACACATCGGCTTGAGCCAAAATGGCTACGGAGGAGGGGGAGGAGGAGGAGGAGGAGGAGGAGGAGGAGGAGGAGGAGGAGGAGGAGGAAAGGAGGAGGAAAGGAGGAGGAGGGAGGGTCGTCGAGGGAAAAGAAACTTCTGGGGAGTACCTGCTTGCAGGCCGATGTCCTGTTCAATGTGCTTACTCTAACCCAGAGGTGCGCGAGCTGAGACTGATCGAGGATCGGGACCCAGACCTCCAACGTCTTGAACAACCCTTTGGGAAGCCGTCTCTGGGCCCAGAGGCCGTCGACTGGAAACGAAACACTGGTCCTGCTGACGGGACCGGGACTTCCGGGGATCAAGTTGGGAGCAAATCACGGCATAGGTTTGTGTCTGGGTGCACGCCTCCAGGGGAAGCTTTCGGGCCCCTTATGACGCCCCCCCAAGCAGCAAGCCAGGGGTCCCAAAAAGCTCTCTCGGGCCGCGGACGGGAACAACAACACTCCTCTCGTCCGAGGACAAACATCGTGTTTCCAACGCTGAGTGAGGAACGAAGGTGGACGAGGAGGAGGAAGAGGAGGAGGAGGATGAGGAAGAGGAGGGGGAGGAGGGGGAGGAGGAGGAGGAGGAGGAGGAGGAGGAGGAGGAGGAGGAGGAGGAGGAGGAGGAGGAGGAGCTCTGATTGCTTTTTTGTGGGTGGATCTCTCGAGCTCTCCGCCGCCTCTGGCGGCGTGGTTTGCGAGCAGGAGCGCAACAGGAGGCCATAGGAGAGCGCGGTACTGACAGTGCAGCCCCGCACACCGCCCGAGGCGGCGGAGAGTTCGAGAGAGCCGTCCACGAGAAAACGGCCCGAAGCCGCACGCAGATTCTCCGACCTCGAGCCGAGGAACTGCCTGCAAAACGCAGCCGTGGACCGTGACCCGGCATCTCGTCTGCGACCTTGCATCGGCGTCCCCCTCTGGCCCTCGAGGTCGCCTGGAGCCCCCCAGGGGGCAGGGCCCGCCAGCGTCGAATCGGGACGTCGGATCGACTCGGAGCGCACGTCGAATCGGGCCGCATCGGCACTGAATCGAGATCGGATCGGATCGACTGCGCAAGGGTGCGCAACAGCGCCGTGCGAATATCAGCCCGCATTGGCTCTTCGGAACGTCGGATTGGGACCAAGTCGGATCGAGCCGGCCATGATTTGATATCGAATCAGGCCAATCGGATTGAAATGGGCCTTGGGGGGTCTGGATGCCCCCCGAGGCCCCCGGAGACGGAACACAATCTGCTGCCCTTGCCACCCCTGACTTCTGCGGAGGCCCGCAGAGGTGCCAAGGGGACCTTCGGCGGCCCTCTGGAGTCCTCCGGCGGCCAAGAAAATGATGCATCCAAAGCCAGCGGCAACAACACCAATCTTGGCACGCCCGAAGTGAGTGCGGAAGAAGACATGGGTACGATGCCCAACTGCACATGCTGCCCAGAACAAAGAGCGACCATTGCGGGGCAGGCGGCCTCATGTCGCATCTGGCCAACGCCCGCGCGACACCGACAGCGGGTCCTGTTCACAAATGGGCAAGACCTGCTCTTGGTCTTCGTCTCGATGATTTCCGCACGTGCCCATGTCGATGGTACCGAAATCGAAGAGCCAGAGGGGTGCGTACAGCCGGCTCCCCCCCCGATATCCTTGCCGCCAGCCTTGCCGTTCTCCGCCTTGACGCGCCCGCCCTTCGTCACGCCCAGACATTGCCCACACCACACCGACTCGGGCATGCGCCACCGAGGCTCCCGGGCAGCGTTGGATATAGCAGTTTCACAGTCTCGGAGCCTGGTCAGGGCCCCTGGCGACAGAAGACAAATCCGTCGCTTTGATCGGTGGAGCGCGAGGATGTCAGGGACGAGCCCCGCGGAGGCACTCTGCCGGAGCAGCTGACGCTACATTGCGGCGGAGATGCTGTGGCTGCGACCAGATCTGGAACGCGGCGGGGCCCGATTCCCTCTTGGTCCCCGCTATCACCCCCGCGCACTGACGCGCGCACGCCCGAACGGCAGCAGATTTCCAGGGGGGGGGCGTCTCCACACCGGCGGACCGGATACAAGAATCCCTGGACCTCTGGCCATGTGTTCTCTCTGGCCCACGGCCCCAAGGAGTTCCCCAATCCTTCCTCCTGGGGGTAGTCCTCCACCACGGATCCATTGGTGATGGCCCCGAAGGCCCGCCACTGCCCCCCCCACAAAAAGCTGGGACTGAAAAAGGTACCCCTTGCCCAGACCCGGAACGATGTGATTGTCTCGCACCCGTGGCCCCCAGAGGTCCACCTCCTTTCCTGACCGAGGCGCTCTCTGCTCTGAAGGCCCTGGCGCCCAGTGAGGCCCCCCAGCTGTATGTTGCTCTCATTGCACTTAAGGACCACATCCCACAAAGGATTTCGAGCACCCAGCAAAGTATCGAAACAGTGTCGAACGAATATCGCCTCCCAGGGCCACCCCCCATACATGAACGCCCTCAAGTTTCGGCACTTCCTTGGTGCTCGAAAGGACTTCAGGTGATCAAGGCTGCACTAAGCTGGAACGTCATAACCCCAGCTGCCGAAAAAAAACAAAAATCTCCCGCAGTGACTTCTTCGCAGATCGAGGATGCTAAGGTTCCCTGATGGGGTCCCTGGTCCCGACCCTCGGCGGCGACGATAGGGGCGAATAGCCCAGAGGCGGGCTTTACACGCATTCGCCTGGGAGCCTTTTCGAAGACACAGATCATCGGCGGACCCGAGTACATGTCGTTCGTTTCTAATCGCGCTCAATTCTAATTGTGCTCGTTTCTAGTTGTTCCAGGCCCCCTAGTGGCCAGGAAGAGGCCCAGGATGGAACATCTAGAAATGAAAGGATCTTGGCCCCCAAAGAATCAAATAACCTTCGAAGAATAGACATGATCAATGTGTACATGGATTGCTCTCTCCTGGGCTCAATTTGCCCCTGTCGTCGCCTCTGAGACCCCGGTGCCGCTGGCCCGGCCCGAGCCCTGGCCTGACGTTTGGGTGACCCCAAAGGGGGTCCAGCTGAAAGGGGGGGTGAAATTGATTTGGGTACTTGTATTGCAAATGTATTGCGGCGGAGAATTGGATTGCATTGTAATGCAAACAATGCACTGCACGCGAAAGTACAGCAATACATTTACGCCCCGGAATGTGTTGCACGCCCCAAACCCAAATCTATTGCAACTCCACAAATCTATTGCCCCAAATCTATTGCACCATCCCCTTGTCACACACTGTCGCTGGACCCCCTTTTGGGTCAACCCGATGACGGTCGACCAGGGCCCGGCGAAGGCCCCCGCCCCAGAGAGGGGGTCCTCGTCCTCCTCCTCCTCCTCCTCCTCCTCCTCCTCCTCTTCGTCCTTCTCCTCCTCATCCTCAGCCTCCCTCCCCCCTCCAACTCATGGTGCTGGTGGTGGAAAACAAGCCCATCATAATACACATAAAACCTTCGCAGGTCCGCGCGGACTTCTTGCATACCGTGGAGGCTAGTCTACAAGAAACCTTCCACAAGAACCCAACCCTGAGACCCCAGGGCGTCCGTTCATTTTTGGTGTGGGATCGTTACGCTTTCCATCGCGAAACCATTGAAACCCAAGAAACCAAGGGCACCCTGGAGGTCAGCAAAGTGTTTCTCGGCATGCGCCTCCACTGTGGAGGAATGTAAAACGGAATGCGCAAAAAAAGTCGCAGGTCCGCGCGGACTTCTTGCACAGGCGCCAGACCCCTGGTCGGCGCCACAGACAACCCTCCCTGGTGTGCGGAGCGCGCCAGGGGCGGCGCCATGGGCGGCGCCAGAGGCGCCGCCCAGGGAGCCCAGCGCCGATCCAAAAACCAGCGCGGAGCTCTGGAAGCTCATGTTTATGATGCCTTGTCAGTTTCGATCGTGGACCCATGCCGCGACTCCCCAGAACTCTCCCAAGGTGCGTTCGGACCAGAATCTCGAGGCGAATCCGTCCGAGGCGACGAGGGCCTCCCACGAGGCCCAAACAAGGCGAAGACGAGGCAATAGGTCGCAGTATCGGTACCTCTTCCTCCTCTGAGGTCTTGGTCAGAAGGGCTCTGGATGGACAGAAAACGACGACCATGACTCGTCCATCTTGGTCGTCGTCGATTCACGAGCCGTCCACGCCAATCGTCGACGGCCAGCACGGATCACGACAAGATCCCGCGACATCTTGGCCACGGTCATCGCACTTCTTGGGTCTGACGTTGCCCCCTGGCTCTCGGGCCACAGCTCGGCTCCCCCGGCGGCCGCCCGGGAGGATCCAGGCAGCCCCAGAACGCTCTCGGCGAGGCGCAGCTGCTGGAAAGCATCCCGAGGCTGGAAGACCGCGGGGAATCGACGCAACACGCCCGACAACCTCGAGCCTCGAACTCCCAGGGACTCGCGGGCAACTCCCGGCGTGGACCTTCGCTCTGCCGCCGCGCCCGAGGCCCTCCGGCTCGGGCGCCGGGGGCGCCTCTGGCGGCGGCGGGTGCCACTGGCCAGGCGGGGTGGGCGCCCACGCCAGGAGCTGGGCAGGATCCGGCAGCGGGTCTGGGCGGAGGGTGCCCTCCAGTCCTGCACGGGCGGGGGGAGGCACGAGCGGCACCCACACGTCGGGAGTCCGGGTTAGCAAGGCGCCCCGTCGAAGAGGGGAGGGTCCGGAATATCGGGTCGCCTTTGGAGGGGGGTCTGGTTTTTTAGGGAGTTGGGGGGGTCGGGGAATGAGGACTTGGAATAGGGATATGTTTTCTGCCCATGAGTCGACGAGCGCGTCCAACTGCTCGCAAAGCAACTACTCGCAAACGGCCAGGACCCCTCGCGGGGGATCTACGATAACTTACGTCAGAGCAGCCATGCGTTGTTCGGACGTTTGCGAGAAGGCACCTTGCAAGTGGTGGAACGCGCTCGGCGAATGAGGGAGGGGGGGCGGGGGGAAGCGAGCATCCCCTGAGTGCGGGCAAAACTTGCGTCCATATCCACTGCAGCTTGGGGTTTCGGGCTCCCTTCCCCAGAAAGCCGAGGAGCACTGGATATGGAAAAGAATCAGGCCCCTACTGGAGGCTCGAATTTTATCCATATCCAGTGCGCCTCGGCCTTGCGCGCCCCTTCCACGAAAGTCAAAGACGCCCTGGATATGGATATACAGATTGCCCGCGCTGAGAGCCAGGAGCTGTAGGAGGAGGAGGAGGAGGAAGAGAGGAGGAGGAGGATGAGGAGGAGGAGGAGGTGGAGGAGGAGGAGGAGGAGGAGGAGGGAGGGGGGGGGGGGGAGGAGGAGGAGGAGGAGGAGGAGGAGGAGGAGGAGGAGGAGGAGGAGGAGGAGGAGGAGGAGGAGGAGGAGGAGGAGGGGGCGAGGGGGAAGCGAGCATCCCCTGAGAGCCAGGAGCTGCAGCCGCCGTCTTCCCGCCAGGCGTCTTCTCGCCCCATGCCGCGGATGGCTCTGGCAGGAGCGGCGGGTGCCCTCTCCAATCTCAGGTCGGGCCTGTCCTCCCACAGGGGGATCTTGGACGACAAAATTTAAAATAGGCCAAACAAAATCTCAAATTGTCAAGAATAGTAAACCAATAGTCCCCAGACGATTTTCTGACTACTTTGGAATCTTCCCCCTGCAGAGGGACAGGCCCGACTTAACTCCAGTCCTGCACGGGGGGGGGAAGCAGGCACCTGGCCGATGCTGGAAAGGCGGAGCCCAAAAATGTTGCCCTCATACCGGAGGAAAAACCTGCGAGTCGGGGATCTATCCATACCCACCGCCTGGAAACCGACGTCCTGGTGCCCCAGCGGGCGGTGGATATGGCTGTATTGCGGCCCCTGGGGGCCCGAACGTATCCATATTCACCGCCTGCCGAGGCTCCGAAAACTGACCCTCCAGGCGGCGGTACTGTATAAATTCCTGCCTCGGAAAACCCGACCATTGAAATCGGCCTCCCGCCGGCCTTCCGCCGGCGCCCGCTGGCGGAACCCGCCCTTGTTTACTTCCGCCACCTTCTGCCGCCCCTCCGCCGCCGTCCGCCGAGGGATTTCCAGGATTCCCGCCATTTCAAAGTGATTCACAAGCTGAGCTCGGGCTTGGGGAAACTCGCCGCGAGAGACTCTGCAACTCAAAGGCAAGGCCGTTTCTGGCACGCCTCCTGTGAGCATCCCCTGAGACCCAGGCGCTGCAATACTGCTTTCCACCACCACCACAACCAGAAGTTGGAGGAGGGGGGGGGGCCTCCTCCTCCTCCTCCTCCTCCTCCTCCTCCTCCTCCTCCTCCTCCCTATGGTGGTGGTGGAGGTGGAGAACAAGCCCATCAACAGCGGGCGTTTCCGCCCAGCTTCGGGCCCAGGGACCATCACGGATCGATTCTCCTCGGCAAGCGCAGGCTGAAGATTCGGAATATTTTCATGTGGTTCCTGATGTCGCCAAAACTCCCAAAGGGAATTTGCCAGGATACCCGACACTGATCCTCTTGCCTGATGCTCTGAAGCTTTCCAGCCTCAAGAGGCAGTCTCAGGAACCTGGCGGAGGGAGCGATCCCAGGATTCCTTGGGATTCCTGATGGTTTTTCTCGGATTCCTGAGGTTTCCTCTTGATCGCCACTGAAAAACTAACATTGACTAATGTCGGGGGCCCCTCGAGATTCCTTCAAGCATCTTTCCGAACTCTTTCAAGAATCCTCCTGGATTCCTCCCGGAATCCTCCGGGAATCCCTTGGAATCCCCCAAACATGTCAGGAGACTGCGCGAATCCTTCAGGATTCCTGCAAGAACCTTTTAGGAATCATTCTGAAATCTTCACGGAACCTCCCAGGACCTTGGAAAGCCCCGAATAATCTTTGAAGCATCGCATCGGAATCAGATTGGGGTCTTGCTGGGTCCCTGCATGATTTTGGTGGGGTCCTGCACCAAGGGTTCTGGCTGGGGGCGGAGTGCCACTTCCAGGTACTGAACAATGCCATCTCTCTGCGGAGCGGGGGGGGGCGCGATACTCCGCTCCAGAGTCGCTATCCCCCTGCCAGGGCTCCGTCGGTGCACGCTACGGTGGGGGCATTGGATGAGGAACCCGCAGATAAGGAATGGTCCGGTGGAGCTCCTATTGAGGCTTGGCCAATGGATATCACCGCCGCCCTCACCGGACAAAGAATCCTCCAGGGTTTGCAGCCTCCTGGGCACATTCCTTCATCGGCGCCCCCGCCGCATCCCCAAGGTGGGGGACACTGCGCGGTGCGCGGGCCAGCGGCGCCACACTTTTTACCAGCCGACTGAAATCGCCCTATGGCTAAAACTTCCCTGGCGACGCACCCAACCCCAGCGCAATGCGGGGCACGAGTAGCTTGGGAGACGTTATACGGAGGTGATGACGTGACATGGGCGCATATACTTCTGCGAGCGGCATTCGTGAGGCTCGCATCCCCCAAGGATTGCGATGTCTCGCTCAGATATGCCTGGTGCCTCGCTCCGCTGACCCCGCCACCAGCCTTCGAAAGTTGCGACGGTTTCGCAGATCGCAGCCCTCCGAGGACGGCGAGGCCCCGCTCAGATCTGCGTGGTGCCTCACTCCGCTTGCCCCACCAGCAGCCCTCGAAAGTGGGGACAATTTCGCAGATCGCAGCCCCCCAGGCACGGCGAGGTCCCGCTCAGATCTGCGCGGTGCGTCACTCCGCTGGACCCACCAGCAGCCCTCGAAAGTGGCGACAGCTTCGCAGATCGCAGCCCTTCCCAAGGGACGGCGAGGTCTCGCTCAGGTCCGCGCGGTGCCTCATTCCGCTGCACCCACCAGCAGCCCTCGAAAGTGGATACAATTTCGCAAATCGCAGCCCCCCAGGGACGCCGAGGTCCCGCTCAGATCTGCGCAGTGCCTCACTCCACTGGACCCGCCAGCAGCCTTCGAAAGTGGCGACACTTCCGCAGATCGCTATGCTGGCCCCCCAAACAGCCCTAGAAAGTGGCGACGGTTTCGCAGATCGCAGCCCCCCAAGCACGGCGAGGTCTTGCTCCGATCTGCGCGGAGCCTCACTCCGCTGGACCCACCAGCAGCCCTCGAAAGTGGCGACAGTTTCGCAGATCGCGGCCCCCCCCCAGGGACGGCGAGGTCTCGCTCAGATCTGCGCGGTGCCTCATTCCGCTGCACCCACCAGCAGCCCTCGAAAGTGGCGACAGGTTCGCAGATCGCAGCACCCCAGGGACGGCGAGGTCTCGCTCAGGTCCGCGCGGTGCGTCACCCCGCTGGACCCACCAGCAGCCCTCGAAAGTGGCGACAGCTTCGCAGATCGCAGCTCCCCCCAGGGACGGCGAGGTCTCGCTCAGGTCCGCGCGGTGCCTCATTCCGCTGCACCCACCAGCAGCCCTCGAAAGTGGCGACAATTTCGCAAATCGCAGCCCCCCAGGGAGGGCGAGGTCTCGCTCAGGTCCGCGCGGTGCGTCACCCCGCTGGACCCACCAGCAGCCCTCGAAAGTGGCGACAGCTTCGCAGATCGCGGCCCCCCAGGCACGGCGAGGTCTTGCTCAGATCTGCGCGGTGCCTCACCCCGCTGGACCCACCAGAAGCCCTCGAAAGTGGCGACGGTTTCGCAGATCGCAGCACCCCAAGCACGGCGAGGTCTCGCTCAGGTCCGCGCGGCCTCACTCCGCAGGACCCACCAGCAGCCCTCGAAAGTGGCGACAGTTTCGCAGATCGCAGCGACGGCGACCACAGGGGGTGGCGGGGGGAGGACGCGACCACACCCCTCTATTCAAAACGAATACCCAATCAAGAAGGGTTGCGAATAAAAGAAAAAAACTATGCACATACACCGATTCTGGCCAGGGCCATCCTGAGCCCAGGATCGGTGCATACGCCCTCCTGCCTTGGCCAGGAAGGCATCTGCACCGATCCTGGGTCAAGAGTGGGCCTTGCCAGGACCGGTGCATGTGCACAGTTCTCTTCGCCCGATAAAAAAGGAGGAAGGGAGCGGAGGGAGGGTGGAGCGGGGCGGAGAAGCAGCAGCAGGAACACCAGCGAAACCAGGGCAGGCGCGGCCGGGCGGGCGGGCGCCGCACACCGCACGCCGTCCTTCCAGCGCGGCGACCGCGTCCCTGCCCCGCGGGGTCGGGGACCCTTGCCCAGGCTTGCGTCGGGCGGGTCCCCCCCCCCCACAGGGGGATATTCGACGAAAGATAAAGCATGCTCCAAAAATGCTCCAACAGTAATCCTAAAATAGTCTGGGAACTACTTCTCTTGCATGTTTTGACCTTTTTGGGGCAGTTTGGGGGTATTTTTTAAATTCGCCGTCGAAGAATCCCCCTGTATGGGGGACACGCCCGACAAAAGCCTGGGCTGTCGCGGGGAAGGCCCGGCGACACGGCAAGCCCTGCGAGTGGATAGCGCGTCGCTCCGCTCCGCGGGGCGGGAGGTCGGAAAAAAGACACGCTCCGGAACTGGGGCGTGGAGGGAGTGTCTTGCCGCAGCGCGGCGGGCCAAGACCGGCAGAGCGACGCGCTAAGGCAAAGCTCCCGGCCGCAGCACGCAACGAGGTTTATCCCCGTGTCCGAGCCCCGCCAGGAGGACCCCCCTCGAAACCGAAGGGGGGAAGGGAGCCCTGGGCACCTCTCCGCGTCCAGGCTGCGCCCCGAAAGCCTGCACTTTTTTTTACCTGCGCGGAGGAGCCCTGTGGCAAAGAGGGGGACCGACGACGAGGGGAGCGGGGAGGGGGAGGGGAGGGAAGGGAGGGCGAAGCCGCTCGCCCGCCGGGCGCCCGCTCAGCGCCGATGCGGGCCCGCAGCACGCGGCCAACGCCGGCCGCCGCGGGGGCCGCCAGCCGCCGACCGCCGGCCTATTGCCTTGGCGCTTTGTCTCCCCTCCCCCCCGCAGGTCGAGATCGTTGGTGCTTTGCCCCCCCTCCCCCCCAGAGTCCTGGGGTGATGCGCATGTAGAGCTCCAGGGACAGGAGCGCGTTGCTCCCGGCCTCGCCCCCGCCGCCCTCCTCCTCCTCCTCCTCCTCCTCCTCCTCCTCCTCCTCCTCCTCCTCCTCCTCCTCCTCCTCCTCCTCCTCCTCCTCCTCCTCCTCCACATCATCATCATCATCATCATCATCATCATCATCATCATCATCATCATCATCATCATCATCATCATCATCATCATCATCATCATCATCATCATCATCATCATCATCATCATCATCATCATCATCATCATCATCATCATCCATCATCCATCATCCATCATTTTCATCATCATCATCATCATCAACATCAGCATCAGCATCAGCATCAGCATCATCAGCATCATCCGCCTCGCCTCCTCCTCCTGCTCCTCTTTCTCCTCCTCGTCCTCCTCCTTCTCCTCCTCCTCCTGCTCCTCTTTCTCCTCCTCACCCTCCTCTCGACTTTTTCTTCGTTCCTCCTCCTTCTCCTCCTTCTCCTCCTCCTCATCATCAGCATCGTCAGCATCATCATCAGCATCATCATCATCATCAGCAGCATCATCATCATCACCATCATCATCATGATCATCATCATCATCATCATCATCATAATCATCATCATCATCATCATCATCATCATCAGCAGCATCATCATCATCAACATCAGCATCAGCATCAGCATCATCATCATCATCATCATCATCATCATCATCATCATCATCATCATCAGTATCAGCATCATCATCAGCATCATCAGCATCATCATCATTTCCATCATCATCATCATCCGCCTCGCCTCCTCCTCCTCCTCCTCCTCGTCCTCCTCCTCCTCTTTCTCCTCCTCACCCTCCTCTCGCCTTCTTTTGTTCCTCCTCCTTCTCCTCCTCCTCCTCCTCCTCCTCCTCCTCCTCCTCCTCCTTAGCATCATCAGCATCGTCAGCATCATCATCATCATCATCGTCATCATCATCATCATCATCATCATCATCATCAGCATCATCATCATCATCGTCGACATCAGCATCAGCATCATCATCATCAGCATCATCATCGACATCAGCATCAGCATCATCATCATCATCAACATCAGCATAATCATCAGCATCATCATCATCTTGATCGACATCAACATCAGCATCATCATCAGCATCAGCATCATGATCATCATCATGATCATCACCATGAGCATCACCAGCATCATCATCATCAGCATCAGCATCATCATCCTCATCCTCATCCTCATCCTCATCCTCATCCTCATCCTCATCCTCATCCTCATCCTCATCCTCATCCTCATCCTCATCCTCATCCTCATCCTCATCCTCATCCTCATCATCATCATCATCATCATCATCATCATCATCATCATCATCATCATCATCATCATCATCATCATCATCATCATCATCATCATCATCATCATCATCCGCTTTCTCCTTCGCTCCTCCTCGTCCTCCTGCTCTTCTCCCCCTCCTCGCCCCCCATCCCTTATCGTCCCTCCTCCTCTTCCCTTCCTCCCTCCCCTCCCGTCCTCGACCTCCTCCTGCCTCCCTCCTCGTCCCTCCTCCCTCCTCCAACTCCTCCTCCTCCTCCTCCTATTGCTTCCCCTCCCGTCCTCGACCTCCTCCCGGCTTCTCCTCCTCCTTCTGCTCCTCCTCCCCCTCCCTTACCATCCCTCCTTTTCCCTCCCTCCCCCCGTACCGACCTACAGTTACACAGTGCGAGTACTACTCTCAGCCTCCCCTGATCCCGTGCGGAAGAGATTCGGCCCTCTGTGCGTGCGTTTTTCCCCACAACTGATGTCCAAAGCTGTGTGCTCCTTATGCGTTTCACAGCCCGGCTGTTTCCGGCGCTCCGAAACAGGTTCCCGCTGCAGCGCGGGCCTCATCTTCGGATCGGCGCGCTGCCCCCCTGTCGTTCCGAGATGGCGCTCTCGCCCAAACGTGGGCCGCTCTTCTGGATCCGAGCCCCGTTGTTCATCGCTGTCTCCCCCTCACTTCCCGTCCTCCGTTTTCCCCTGGTCCTCCGCTTCCGTCCGCTCCTTTCACTCCAGATCCTGCTGCTGCTGCTCGTCGTCGTCCTCCCCATTCCACATCATCCCCCTCGTTCCCCTGCTCATCCACCTGCTCGCCCGCCACCTCCTCCCCCTCCTCCTATGCATGCAGCTCCCCGTCAACGAATGCGCGTAACACGATGGGGTCACTGAGTTGGAGGTCCAGGTCGGCTATGACACGCGTCCGCGGAAGGAGAACACATCGGCGAAATTGGAGAGGATGGGAGGGAAATATTACATGCCAGTTGAGGCGTGAACGCACCTAGATTGCCTGCCCCACCCCGTCCTGATCATCTTCCTCTACCTCCTCCCGCGTCCCCTCCTCGTCCTCCGTCCTTCCTCCTCCTTCTTCCTCCTCCTCCTCCATTTTCTCCTTTTCCTCCCGTCTTTCTCTTACTCCCTGCCTCCTCTTCGTCCTCCCTCATCCTCCCTCGTCCTTCTTGTCCTCCTCCTCCTCCGCCTTCTCCCTTCCTCCTCCATCTCCTCCTTGGAGCTTCGAGCTGCGGAAACTTCTGCTGACGCTAGCTGACGCCCGCGCAGGCCCCTCGTCCTCCTCCTCCCACTCCTCATTGTCCTGCTCCTCCTCCTCCTCCTTCCTCCTCCTCCTCCTTCCCTTCTTCTCCTCCTCTTCCTCCTCCTTCCTCCTCCTCCTCCTCCTCCTCCTCCTCCTCCTCCTCCCCCTCCTCCTCACCATCATCCTCCTCCTGCTCCCCCTCCTCCTTCTGCCTTGCCCTTCTCCTCCTGATCCTTAATTCATATTCCTCCTCCTCCTCCTCCTCCTCTTTTTGTGCGTTGCCCAAACTTTGGCTACGTGGCTGGAGCGCTCGGGGCACAACGTTCCTGGCTGGCGCAGCAGGAACAATTGCAAGAAAAGGGCAGCGGTAAGAATAGACAAAGTAGGCGCCCGCCGAGCAGGACGACAACTTACCTTGGTAACACGTGTCCCCAGTACCTGAGCAGTATGAGCCTCCACTGGTACAGGCTGCCTCAGGTACAAATGCAAAGGACGGCAAAGATAGGAGACTGGTATAGTGAGCGCCCGCTAATCCCCCACACTGCGTAGGCAGTAGTGCTTGAGTGAGCGTTTTTGCGAGGCTCTGCCGAAGGTATGTGTAATGAAGCTTGGATGTCCCTGAAGCTAATACTATTCATCGGTCGTGTGAAGCCTTGCTGGTCGAGCCTTGTCCTCTGTGTAGGGGCATTGCTGTGCAGTGGTTCCATATGAAAGGTTGTGCTTGGGTGAATGAGAACTTGAATAATAATGTGTGGACGTGTCTGGCTGTGCTGGCTGGTTCTGTTATTAGTAGGGCGGTCATGAGTATGTCGAGCCTTGGTTGCTTGCGTCGATTGGCGTTTATGATAAGTGCTGCTGCTTTAGGGAGTGTGATGGCGTAGTCGAGCGGGGGGGATTGGTGTTTTGAGCGTATTGTTGTAGAACGTACACAAGCTTCCATTGTCGTAGAACTTAACTTCTTCTTGTTGTTTGGCGAACTGACTGGTAAATTCGTATGCTCGTTGTGCGTCGCTCTCAAGTACAGTTCCTTCGGCATCGGTAAAGTATGGCATGGCCAGCACATTGGCCGTTTTGTTTCTGGTGCAAGGACCGTATCTTCGAGGCTCTGCCCCGGCGTGTTGACAAATTGGTCCGTGTTCGTGAAGGTCGTGAAGATGCTGGAATTGGCTGGAACATTGGGAGGTGTGGCTCGCTCCATCCGCGATGACTTGGATGGCTCGTGGTGTCCTCGCCGTTTTTTTAAAGGCGCTGGTAGATGTCAATTGTTCGTGCTGGTCGTTGCCACTTGCTGTGCGCAGTACAAGGTTGCACTTGCGCATGTGCTGGTCGGTGGGTCTCCCGGAGGTACTTCCTGATGTCCGTATTGGGCTTGTGTAGCACGCTTGCTGGCTAGCTCGTCTACCGTATCGTATCACTGCCGTGGCGCGTCTTCTCAGCCTGATTCGCGTCACTTTGTCGTTTGATCTGTAGGCTGTCTTGGGGCGAGGTCGCCAGCTGTGAAACGTGTTTTGGTCGCTGCGTGCAATGTGCCGGCGGTCTTCTCGCGGTGTTCGTTGAAAGCAATGTCCCATGTCGGTCGTGGTTACTTCTCGAGTTGATGGGCAAAGAATGCTTGTCTGTCTGCGTCTTGCATCTTGGCTGGATCACATGGTTTAGTTATGCTGTTTACTCTTGCTCTTTGCTGTGTTGCGGGGGTAGTGCAGTGTCGCGTATACAGGAAAAAAGTCTTCGCTCGTTGCTCGCGAGCCATAGCGATGGTCGATGTCTAGCTCTGGAACGCATTGTGTCCATTCGTTGAAGATTGCTTCGTGATCGTTGCGGTGTTTCGCCAGTCTGTCTCTGCATTGACTAGTCAGTGCGCGGGTAGGCTAGCGATAAGCGGCAGCGTTGACGCAGGTGAGGTCATGCGCTGCAGTTGTGCCTTGCCTGCGCGGCGTTGTCGTCTTCTCTTGCACTCATGCTGGGTGGGGCGACGCTGCCGACGCCTGGCGGCACTGTCGCGTTAATGCGGGTGTTGAGGCCGGCAGGTGTTATGGCGCGTGGCTGCGTTGCGGCGGGGGCGCGCAATGCTTCCCACCACTTGGCAAGGCGTCTTGGGTCACGCTGCTTGCGCGGGGCGTGCGCTACGCGCGTGGTATCGCTAACCAGTAGAGCTCGTACTGTGATAAGGACAAGTCGGTTCGATGCATGTAGCACTCTGGAGTGTTTGTACATGCTGCATGGTTGTCTCTTATGCGCGGCTGCGCATGGAAGCGATGTGCTCACTAGGGGGGCGCAGCCTAGTTTGCATGGGCGCTGAGGCGTTGCGACTTGCAGGTGTGTTTCCGCTGCGATGAAGCCATTCATTGTTATGCTTTCTTGCGTTCCTATGATAAGAATCTGGTGTAGTAACGCATGTGCGCGCAAGTGCTGCCCTCTGGTCATGGGATGCAGCGTTCGTTCGGCGTGAGTCAGTGATTCGTCGTTTGTGTC